CCGTAGAAGTAAAGACAGTAAAGTTCTAACCTGTAACACGGAGACGATGCGATCAGGTAGTGGCTTTAATGCCGCCACCACCACCGATTGCCACCTGAGTGAAGTGTGCCGTTTTATAAACGTGGCTGCAGACACGTGTCCAGTAGTGGCGTCCGGTGAACAGCGTAGTTTTCTGCGGTACGTAGATTTGACACAGCGACAGTCCATGTGCGCGTGAGTGGGCAGTTGAAACTTCCAGCGATGACGGTCCCGCTTGACGATAGGCGACACCGAAGGATCAGGAAAAACCAGCGGTCCACCTCGACGAGCTGGGAAAGCAGCACCGGCGCCTTCAATGTGCCTGTAACACGAAGAGGATGCGGTCAGGTACTTGTTGTAATGCCGCCACCACCACCGATTGTCACCCACCACCACCACCGACCGCCACCACCACCGATTGTCACCCAAGGAACTGGGGTTTCTTCGTACGCAGTGATACCTGATCTTATCTGTGATGTTTTTTGTTGTCATATGTTTCTTTTTTTCTTTTAGGTATATGACATTGTCGTGCATTTATCTGAATAAATGTGCTTATCTGCTTCCTCACCTGACGATTATGGCTTAAATGTGGCTTGGAGGTCGAAGATAGACATGTTGTTGCTAGTAGCGCTCTGTCCTCTAAGACTATTCCTTACTGCGTCCATTTCTCGCCTCGTGCTACATAAATTTATTTCAAATGCATCAACGACAAGCTGTTACGCCTGCGAGTCCACGGCGAACGTCCATGCCTCCGAAAAAGGCAATTTGTGTAAAGGCCGGCACGCGAGCCCTCCTGGCGCGAAAAACTCAACGGCGTCATCACGCAGCGGTGCCTTTCTGCGGCGCACGCCTAGTGAGTCACTTCAGCCCACGAGCTCGTCGAAGCAATCGGCGCCTTCCTGTCTGGCGAGTCTGACGCAATGCGTGGCAACGTCACTCGTCCTTGGGTGCAGCCACATGAAGCAGCTTCGTATTTAATGAGAATGACGCAGCCCAGCGGCGACCCCATTGGAGGATTCTGACCTCACGACCAGCGGCGCTTCTGGTTGGACATTTGGTTACCCAAAGAATCCACCGCTGCATATAAAAAAAAAAGCCCTGCGGCGCGTCGCGAGCAGTAGACCTATGTGTCAAAGAAGAGAGCTCGGCTCTTCGAGTCGCTAAACTGTCTGCCCCAGTGCCGAATTTGTAACGCCTCTGTATATATATTCTGCACATAAACCTTGTTTAACTCACCGCCGTCTCGTCCGCTCGTCTATCAGCTCTGGGCAGAAGCAGTCGCGAGCTGAGAAACCTACGCTACCAAACGGCTGGTGACCTTCCTGGCGAAGTTCGAAGCAGTGGCGCCTTCGGGACCGTGTTGGCGTCGCCGTCTTTTGTAACAGTGGAGTCAGCGGTGAGATTCATGGCGCCCTTCGTATTGTCGTCGGAGGCGCGCTTCGTAACAAAGGCCACACCGCCACTCTTGTCGGCATGCACAAAAGAGTTCTTGAAGGACCTCAGATAAGAACCCGCGTACTTTAACGCTGAGTGTTTCGCGTGATGCGCTGCGACACAGGACGAGTCATCGCAAGATGACTGCGTCCATTGGTCATGTCCCGAACAGCATCTGAAGGTATCGTATCTCGTCAGATGGTCCACGGCGACAATTACCCGTTGATTGCCAGCTGTTTATTTGATTGATATGTGGGGTTTAACGTCCCAAAACCACTATATGATTATGAGAGACGCCGTAGTGGAGGGCTCCGGAAATTTAGACCACCTGGGGTTCTTTAACGTGCACCCAAATCTGAGCACACGGGCCTGCAACATTTCCGCCTCCATCGGAAATGCAGCCGCTGCAGCCGGGATTCGAACCCGCGCCCTGCGGGTCAGCAGCCGAGTACCTTAGCCACTAGACCACCGCGGCGGGGCAAATTGCCAGCCGTGGTGAAAGGAAGAGGTTCATAAAGGTCAATGCCTACATGGTCGAAAGGACGTGCCAGACATGGTAGAGGCTGCAGTAGTCCGAGTGAATGGTCTAATTACTTTCATTTTTTGCACAATAAACAGGATCGGATGTATTTTTGGACAAAGGTGTACACGCCGTACCAGCAGCAACGCTGGCGGAGGCGTTCATACGACTTCAGCGCTCCTGCGTGAGCATGCTGAGGACCAACATGAAAATACGCACATACGTCAGATTTTACATGCCTTGGTATAACCAAAAGCCATTTATGACCATTCACATTGCAGTTTTTCAGTATAAAAGCACGTCTCCTATTGCAAAGTGTGTGGCTTGACGATGAAGAGCACGTGGGTATGCTGGCATGGAAAAGTTAAAAAGACGTTAAGGAGAAATGCATTCCGTGTATTTACGCTGCTCAGGTGGCATGCTCGTGATGGAAGGGGCACTGATGGGAGTGTCACTTTCTGAGGGCAGGTCTCTGCTGGATCGCACTGGTGATCTAAGAAGCGCGTTTGCGTCATTGTGTTTTCGCCCAGATCAGTAGATTACGCTAATGTCAAATTCTTGGAGGCCCAGCGTCCAACGTCCAAGACGGCCAGAAGGGTCTTTCAGAGAAGCTGGCCAGAAGGGTTCTTCATAGAAGTGTCGTCGTCTATCCCTAAAACCATTTGCTTGATATTGTCTGCCCTTTCATTGAAGGGTCAAAGCGCTTGCACGAATCGAGGACATCCTCGATGCAGCTTGCGAAGCCTTCCACCTGAAGCAGTGTGCGTCCCAGAGGCACTATACGGCACGGAGCTTGCGTACTTCGGGCCGACCGAACACACCGACAATGCGTAGCTTAAAATTGCCCAAAGTGGCGAATTCTGAGTTGCAGTGGTTAAACCAGAGACTCGCTGCCTCTTTCAGGTAGAAGGGCATATATTGCAGCTCCGAAAGATCGTCCCACTTGTTCTCGTGCCTATATTTTAAAATGCCCACAACCAATCTTCAACGTCTTGTTCAACGGTACCATGGAAAAAAGGTGGCTCGCGCACGCATTGTGCCGTGAGAACGATGACTATTGGAGGCTGGGTCGTATCTTGCTGGGTGCATTCGTCAGCCATTTCTGGGTGGGGGGGGGGGCACGTTGTACTCTGTTGCAGAGTTCCAGGTTGAGTTACCCAGCACCTCAACAACTTTGAAACTGTGTTTCTTGGTGTAAGCAGCATTTGAACAGCAGGCCTATTGATACTGAAAGCGGGCGGCAACGACTAACACAGGAATCACAGCGCTAGGTTAAGCAGCTCGCGCTCGAAGCTTCTAGCTAAAAAGATGGCCCATGACGACCCACTATGGCGTATTGTTTTTCTTCTTACGAACACTATGAACAATGTTTTGTAGCTCAGTGAAAAGGGGATCAAGTTTCTCCTTTCAAATGCAATTAGATGTTTACACACGTTTTGCACAGGGCGAGATAAATTTTTGTCAATTCCGTAGTTTGTACCTTTTAGTTTGCGCCAATTGAACCGAACGATTTCGTTTCATCTTAAAAAAATTTTGTTAGTATGAGGCAGTTCCGAACATTGCCCCGCCGCGGTGGACTAGTGGCTAAGGTACTCAGCTGCTGACCCGCTGGGCGCGGGTTCAAATCCCGGCTGCAGCGGCTGCATTTCCGATGGAGGCGGAAATGTTGTAGGCCCGTGTGCTCAGATTTGGGTGCACGTTAAAGAACCCCAGGTGGTCTAAATTTCCGGAGCCCTCCACTACGGCGTCTCTCATAATCATATAGTGGTTTTGGGACGTTAAACCCCACATATCAAGTTCCGACCATTCCTGTGTCAGTCAAGACAATGCGCACGCTCATTATGCTCCAGGTTTAGGCTTATGTCCAAGTGATCTGCGCAGAACCGAACGACTTTTTCTTTTACCAGTGGGGTAGATTCAGAATGACCTGGACTGCAAATGATGAAGAAGTATAAATTATTTCTGCGGCCTGATTTTCAGCGTCGTCAATTCACGTGACATGCGTGTCACGTAAGACATCACAGTATACATGCTAGGCTCATAGCACGCTCGATGCATTTTCGCTAGCTTCACATATACAACATGTTGTGTTACGTGACGTGCATGAGCGACTGAGTACTGATTTCAGGCGCAAACATATTAATCATAACATGGAGATCCTGTACAGCATGATTTACGTCCGCTCCGTAACGTCGTGCTGCTTTGAATGTGACATATCAACCCTTGCCGGTCGTGCTTTGCATATCATCGATTCGCACTTGGGATCTGCCAACTTTGCCCCGCCACAGTGGTCTAGTGGCTAAAGTACTCGGCTGCTGATCCTCAGGTCACGGCATCAAATCCCGGCTGCCGCGGCTGCATTTCCGACGGAAGCAGAAAGGTTGTAGGTTGGTGTGCTCAGATTTGCGCGCGCGGTAAAGAACCCCAGGTGGTATAAATTTGCGGAGCACTTCACTACGGCGTCTCTCATAATCATATGGTGTTTTTGGGACGCTAAACCTCACATAATAATCAAATCTGTTAATTTTTATTGTGATTACTTTACTTTTGCTTACACTCTTCGCAAGCATACGAATGGGGAGGAAGGGGGAGGGCTATCATAATTTTGATATACGTGTACACAATCTGCTCGAACTACCGCCGATAGTCACGCCACAAAGGAAAGCTGATGCCTGTGCTGCCACTCCCCTCCCCCGCCTGCCGTTCGATCCAACTCCAACGTTATTAGAATTGAATCGCGGTGAACCCACCTCTCCCCAAAAAAAAATTTCTGGCTACGTTTGTGGCACTTTTTGACTGTTCCTTTATCTTGCCGAAGTGAAATTTTTCACGCCATGGCGGGTAGTACAGCAGCAACTCTGAAAAGTATTAGGCAGGAGGCGATGTCTTCTGTTTGCGACGCAGAAAAAGGGCGCCCACCCCTCGCTCATGTACTATCAGCAGCTGTGCTAAGACTGATTTGAGTGTTATCTTTTATGGCCACCAGACATGTGGGAGAGGGAGAGGGTGCAGAGGAAAAACAACCGACCTTCAGCGAGGCGTCAGTCTACCAGCGGGCTTGCTAACTCACCGTGCTCCATACGCCAGGAAACATGAAGGGAAAAGTACTCAGTGGTGAGTTGCGTACATATACATTGATTCGCGTGACGAAAGCGTCGTTTCCCAGTTTGGTTGCCCTGTCATCAGACGCGCCGCTTTAAACCTATGGTGCGTAGGCTCTATATAAGTGCCGGCTCACGCTGATGTTATACAACTGCATTAACACCGACGTGAATATTAATGAGTCCCAGGTATCGGAAATTGCCGAAGCACTCTCCTACGGCGTCTATCAGTAGCGTATCGTCATTCTGAGACATAAAACTTTCAGTAGTGCCCTGTTTCGAGCTGCAGTTGCTGAATAATAGGGAGTGAAAAATTAGCTCATAGACCCGTGCCAACAACAAGCCCGGAAAGAGGACTCTGGCTTGTTATCAGTAAGCTTCCTTGTATAGCGCACATAAAAAACAAGGAACAAAGGCACATGCAGACAGACAGAGCACTAACTTCCAACATCGCCTATTCTCAGAAACCAGAGAATATTTTTGCACTTGTCTCGCGAGTCACAGTCATGTGAGCACATGAATAAAGAAAGAACAGTAATATAAGATCGTACGTACGTATATATATATACATATATATATATATATATTATATATATATTATATATATATATATATATATATATAATATATATATATATATATATATATATAATATGGGGAAGAATGGTATATTTAAGGGCTCGTTTTTCTGTGTTTTGACACAATAGTAGTGAAATCTAACAGACAATAATGCCAAGGAATGTATAGGGAAGTTATTAGAACCAATATAATGTTCTAAAAACGTTGGTTCTAATAACTTCCCCTATACATTCCTTGGCATTATTTTCTGTTGTATTTGATTAATATCGTGTCAAAACACAGAAAAATGAGCCCTTAGGTATACACAACTTACCCAATATATATATATATATATATATATATATATATATATATATATATATATATATATATATATATTGATAATCTTAAAACTTGCGCAGGTAAGTTACATGTTTTTCTGAAAGTGCTAAGTGACGGCTGGCGGACACACTTTAAGATGAGTAGTTTGACATTTGCTGCTAGCTATTCTTTTATTGTTTTCAAAGATAGGAGAACAATAATGCAATCTACAATGTTCTGCGAGAAAACGATCTCTAGCATTTTCTCCTATTTTATTTTGCGTTCACGCATCGCATCATTCATGCATCTCACTTATTACCCAACGAACCATTTTCCACAAGTCAAGGGAATGCCGCTGATGCCCGCCATCACACATTCAACAAATTTAATCCTGCGTTTGTCTTTTTCACTCGCAAAAATACTCTCCCTGGTTTGGGCTAACAGCAAAGACTGATCAGTCTATTATATAGAGGCTGAGAGAACAGCATCAGTTTCACTACGCCATGCGTAGTGTTGTGTTCTTGAGTTGTGTGACAACCAGTGGATGTAAGAAATCACTGCTATTCATTTTTTCTTTCGTGCACTAGTTTCCTGCCTGCTTTCAGGTTTACTAGCTTTTCGCACTTCATGCAACATTCCCTCAGACACCAGAAGCTGTCCGAGACACCAGAAGCTGTCTCGGATAATCAGCATCCTCTAGACGCAAAGCCTGCTGGCTGGACACTTCGTTGGTCCAGCAAACGCATGAATTACTGAGTGGGTTGGTGAAAAAATTTTGATATAATAACAATGCTTTATGTACTTTGGGGTTGTAGCACCATCATGAAAGGTCATATAACTGAAGGTACATGTAATATTATGAAGTCTTGGTAGTCTGGGTTGCGACAGCGTTTAATTGAGGCAAGACCTCGCAAAACGAACGGGCAGAGCCAGTACACAGACGATGACGATGATGATGAACCAGAGTGGCAATGAGGACAAAGAGACAAGCGGATGATGGTGATTGTGATCATGCAGGGATGAGGACGATGCAAGTAACAAATGCCCACACTAATTCCCCCCACTTGGAAGCGGACACCCTGGCCGCCATAAGTCAAAGTGACGGGGAACGTCGCGTAAAAGGTTTCATGCGACAAACGTGGACAATCTCTGTGCTGCGGTAGCGGCGGTCTGTTGGGGCGACGAGTGGTGTCACACGATAATTAACCGGCGAAGTCTGTTCTAAAACAATGTATGGCCCGATGAAGCGTGGTTGGAATTTGTCACAGAGACCAGGAGTGCGAATAGGTGTCAAAAGCAGCACCTCGTCACCAGGTTGGAAAGACACAACGCGGTGAGATTCGTCATAGGTGATCTTCCGCTCGTGCTGTCTCGCTTCAGTATTGATGCGAGCCTGATGGCGAGACTGAGCCAGGCGGGAAATGTATTCTTCGCTAGAAGACTGACACGAATCCCCATGGCTGCTAAAGAAGGAGACGTCGAGAAAGGTAGTCGGGGTGCGTCCGTACACGAGATAAAACGATGAGTAGCAAGTTGTTCGCTGAACGGCGGTGTTGTAAGCGAATGTCAGGAATGGTAAAAGAGTATCCCAGTTTTTGTGGTCGGGTTGGACGTAAACAGCTATCATGTCTGCAAGGGTTCGGTGAAATCTTTCTGTAAGACCATTTGTCTGAGGGTGGTAGCTTGAAGCAGTCTTGTGAGTAGTTCCAGAAGCGCGGAGTACTTCATTTACCATTTGTGACAGGAACACTTTGCCGCGATCACTAAGCAGTACACGAGGAGCCCCATGACGCAGTATTATTGCGTGAAGAATAAAGTCTGCAACTTCCACAGCTGAGCCTGTAATAACAGAGGAAGTCTCAGCGTATCGTGTCAGGTGGTCCACGGCGGTCACTATTCATCGTTTGCCAGCAGATGTGACGGGGAGAAGCCCGTAAAGGTCAACACCTACAACCTCGAAAGGCATTGACGGGCACGGAAGTGGCTGTAGAGGTCCAGCAGGTGCAGACGTGGGGAGTTTACGACGCTGGCATGGGTAGCAGGAACCGACGTACCGCGCTACACTAGAAGAAAGGCCAGGCCAGTAATAACGACATCGAATGCGGTCAAGAGTTTTTTTAAAACCAAGATGACCAGCAGTCAAGTCGTCGTGGAAGGCTTCGAGCACTTGAAGTCGAAGAGAGCGTGGCAGTACAGGAACCCAGCGCTGACCGTCAGGGTGGTAGACGTGGCGGTAGAGAACCCCATTGTCCAGCTTAAAGTGCAGGAGTTGACGACGGAGTCGCGCGTTTGGTGGATGAGAAACTCCCGAAAGGTGGTCCATCATGCGTCTGCAGTATGAATCGGACCGCTGGTGGGAGATAAATGTTGCCTGTTCGTCCGAAAAGGGTTGCGTTATTGATGCGAGCGTATGAACTTTGGTAGATGTGGCGTTTGAGTTCTCACCAACGCTTATATGGGTGGTCGGAAGCGGGCAACGAGATAAAGCATCGGCGTCTCGATGTTTTCTGCCTGACTTGTAAGTTATGTCAAAGTCGTACTCCTGCAAGCGTAGTATCCACCGACCCAAGCGTCCGGACAAGTTTTTCAGTGTAGAAAGCCAGCATAAGGCATGGTGGTCCGTAACGATTGTGAAGTGACGGCCGTGGAGATAGGGACGGAACTTCTGGACCGACCAAACCACAGCCAGACACTCTTGCTCAGTTATAGTGTAGTTCTTTTCAGCAGCGGTGAGTACGCGACTGGCATATGCAACAACTTTCTCTAGGGAAGACTTGTCGCGTTGTAGAAGAACGGCTCCTATACCAAGGCCGCTAGCGTCGGTATGAAGGATAGTCGGTGCGGCTTCGTCAAAGTGGCAGAGCAGAGGTTCAGACGTGAGTGACCGCTTCAACAGCTCGAATGCCGTTTCACATTCTTGAGACCACAGAAAGGGGACGTTCGAAACGAGTAGTTGGTGTAATGGAGCAGCAATAGAAGCGAAGTTCTGTATAAACCGGCGAAAATAGGAGGCGAGGCCAAGGAAACTGCGAAGCTCCTTTGGTTTTTCGGGACGCGGAAAGTGAAGGACTGCAGAAATCTTGTCAGGGTCGGCCCGGATGCCATCTTTGCTAACGACATGTCCTAAGACCTTGATAGATTTGCTAGCGAAAGAGCATTTCTTAGTGTTTATTTGAAGCCCGGCGCCGGCAAGGCACGTCAGAACTTGATCCAGTCGTTCTAGGTGCTCAGGAAACGTTGACGAAAAGATAATAATGTCGTCCAAGTAGCACAAGCAACTTTTCCATTTCAGACCGCGCAGCACGGTATCTATCATGCGCTCAAAAGTCGCGGGTGCGTTGCAGAGCCCGAAAGGCATCACGTTGAATTCATATAGCCCGTCGGGGGTTGCAAACGCCGTTTTATGCTTATCGTCTTCATGCATGGGAATCTGCCAGTACCCAGAACGCAAGTCGATGCTTGAAAATAATTCCGCGCCTTGTAGGGAATCAAGGGCGTCGTCAATGCGTGGCATAGGGTACACGTCCTTGCGTGTGATCTTATTGAGCGCCCGGTAGTCCACGCAAAAACGCACAGAGCCATCCTTTTTGCGGACCAAAACAATGGGAGACGACCAAGGGCTAGATGAAGGACGGATGACTTCCCGTTTAAGCATGTCCGCAACGTTTTCTTCTATAATTTTTCTTTCAGTTAGATACACGCGGTAGGGTCGGCGGTGTACGATAGATGTCCCAACAGTTTGAATTCGATGTGCTGTAGTATTAGTGCGGCCCAGCTTAGACGAGCAAATGTCGAATGAATTTGCATGTTTCTGTAACAATGCGAGCAGCTGCTGCTTCTGTGAATATGTCAGTTCGCTGCTGATAGCTGTGGTAAAGGCGGAGGAAGAAACATGCTCACCGAGGCAAGGTTCTTTGGATGTGATGGCCTGAAGTGGCGTGACAAATACAGGCTCGAAGTCAGCAACATGGGCCACAGTAGTGCCCTGTGGCAGTAAGATCTTCTCCGGTGTAGAGTTGACAGCGGTGACAAGTGCCGAGCCATTGCAAAAACGAACGACACCGGACGGAAGAACTATACCTTTGCGAACGCAAAGTGGTGACGGTGAGACCAATACATTCCCGTGATAGATGT